CCTTGTAAGCATATGAATATTATCCTGTGACTGACAGTGTTGTACTTCAGGATACATCTTGAAATGTTCTTTTTGATGATGAATGTAACACCATTTATCTTCAATTTGTCATTCCCAACATAGTAGACCATATGATTCTGTATTTCAAAATGGCCAGTACCAATCTATTTCAGCTCTTTCATGCGTAGGATTGATCTTTATGTGTTCCATTTAATTTTTGACAGTTTCTAATTTTCTTAGATTCATACTTCATGCATTCCACTTCCTAATTATTAATGGATGTTTGCAACTGTTTCTGCTCATTTTGAATTGTGCATTGGAAAATAAGTCTGGGCAATTATCTGGCATCATTGTCCCTGCTGACAAGAAAACACAGTGTGCCTTCCCAATGCTCTCAGAAATGGACCAATGCCCCAGGGAAGCTGAGGTCTAGGCTTTAGTCTTAGCTCCGCCAGGAACTTGTATATGTCATCCAAACTCTCTGGACCACAGACCTTCAGCTGGAAATAAGTGGTTGGTGCATATGCATTCAAATCTCCTTTCTAGTTGGAGGATGTAGTTCCTAAATTATATCCTTCTTTCTCTTTTGGAACTCCATATCCTAGTCAGTCTGTTGTTTGCCTGTTTTAGGGCCTTTTGTCTGTGTTGACCAAGGGATGATTAACCAGGGAGAATGAAGAGCAGGTATTAGGGAGATAAGAAATTTGGCAGAAGACAAATGGCAACATGACCTGATATCTATTTCTGACAATCTTTCAGGACCTCCTGCTTCTTTACCTGAAAAAGGAGGGAAAGAATGAAATCAGCCTTGGTGGTTTTGAACTGCTGTTTGTACCATGTTTGATTTAAGATTTAGCAATGCAAACTTTTAGCAAACTGCTTACATACTTATTTCCATTCCAGTGGGCTCCAGATTTACACCAATGCTTTGGCTGTGTTATTATAATTTACTAAATAATTGCTATTTTCCTATAGTGTCTGAACCTGCCAGAAGGTTGCAAGCTATTACTGTGTACCCTTATAGTTTGATAAATTAAGCTGTTTTTTATTCCTCTTCCACACATCACTTTAAGACTTTTTGTTATAAGATATACTGCCTATGGAAAGTACAGTTTACCATTCAGAATGAGTATCATTTATCTTCACAGACATTTATGACCAAAAGAATGTAATCAAAAGAAATGATTATTAGTTATTCCATTATTACCCTCCTATTTTGGCTTCTGGCAATGGCTGGAGAGTTTTGTTCCCCATTTCTATCTGATTGATCTATGTGTGCTAATGAGCCCCACAGGAAATAGCTGGCTCAGCTGGTTGCTGTCTAATCTTCAATGTGTGGAGTCTTCTCTCCAGATGTGTGGTTGAACTGTTAATTCCTTCTGAAGCACACTTGGGGTACCTGCCCCTCAGAGGGGGTCCTGGCTTAGAATTCCCAACCAGCCTCAGAGCATTTGAGGATTGGAGAGTATGAGAATGGGTGAGCTGGTTCTTAGAAGCTATTCAAACTGTGCCCCAGTCGGGCATTAAAAGAAAAAAGCAGATAGTTGCAATAGAGTCAATTCTAACTCATGGTAACCCCATGTGCTTCTGATCAGAAATGGGCATAGGGCTTTCAATGGTTTTGACCTTTCAGAAGTAGACCACCAGGCCTTTTTCTGAAGGACCTCTGAGTGGATTCAAACCTTTCTGTTAGCAGCCAAGTGCTTAATTGTTTGTGGCACCCAGGGACTCCTGGTTTAGATCATATCTCCTCTAATGTCTGATTAACTTCTAGAAGAATCACTATTTCAGGACTTTCCATCCTGGAATCAGGGGGTCACAGACGTTTAGAATTAGGCGGGGCCTTAGATGTTATGTGGGCCTCTCCTAAGTGTCAGGAGCCAGAGATAAAATGATGACCAAAACAGGCAGAAGTCCCCACTCTGATATAACTTCTATACCCTAGTCTTTTTTTCACTTTTCTCCTGACATGAGAGACTTTTAGTTTGGCACTCATTGGCAATTTAGCACTGGTTGCTGGTTTCCTCCATCCAATCCAACCTTAAGATACTCCATGGAGATAAGGAGATTGAACAATCAAAGAACCAAGAGCCATAGATGAGTAACAATTAATAAAGGGTGGCTGCCCCAGAATAACCACAGGGCCTGATAACAGGTGGGATTGGGTGGGGGATTGAGAGTGGTGGAAACTAGATTACAACAATGGAGCGCCTCTCTCCTGAGAAGCTCCGCCTTCTATCCCCATCTTATCTGGTGGAGCATAAATTTTCCCTCTTTTCTCAGGCATACATTACTAGCCAAAAATGAGCTTACATGCAAAAAAAAAAAAAAAAATTATATTTGTCTCAAGAGCACAACTAATGTGGAAGATAGAGAAACCAGAACAACCTAGACTAAAGGAAGCAGAAGTAATGAAAAGACAAAATAAGAATGTCAAGTAAGGATAGTATAACATGCTGTGTTGGGCAGTTGTGGCACATCTTTAGTGTGACTATTTCTTAATGAAACCCAGTGGATAGCAATTTGGCAATCTCCATTTAAACACTTAAGCACTCCTTTGGCATAGCATTTCCACCTCTACAAAATTAAGCTGTACATATATGCACACATTTAGGAAATGCTGTAGATACAATGACATTTATTATAACATTCATCCATTCTCTTAGAGCTTAATTCCAGTAAGGTGGAAAAAGACAGTAAAAATGCATGAATAAGACATGCCATCACTGCCTTGTTTGCTGCTGCTGAGCACCTCAGAACCAATACCTGCAGAGCAGAGTGACCCTGCTGGTATTTGAAATACCAATGGCATAGCTTCCAGCATCATAGACAAGTCACCACAGTACAGCAAAATGACAGACTGATAGAATGCTCATACCACTGGATGGCTATAATAAAAAATACAGACAATAAAATGTGGTGAGAATGTGGAAAAATTGGAACCTTCGTACCTTGCTAATGGGAATGTAAGTGGCATGGCCACTTTAGAAAACAGGTTGGCAGTTTATGAAAATGTAAACATAGAATGAAAATAGGACCTTAGAACTACCATAAGACCAATAATTCTATTCCTAGTTACCTACCGAAGACAATGAAACCATATATCCACACAAAAACTTGTACATTTATGTTTATAGCAGCATTTTTGTAATAAGCAAATGCAACCCAAATGCCTATGAATAGATCAATGATAAAATTTTTAATTCCATATAATGGAATAATATTCAGTCATAAAAAGGGGTGAACTGCTGATACTTGCCACTGCACGAATATACCTTGAAAACATTGTGTTAAGTGAAAGAAGCCAGATACAAAAGATAACATATTATATGATTCTATAGGAGCTCTGGTAGCATAGTGGCTAAGGCACTTGACTGCTAACCAGAAGGCTGGTGATTCAAACCCACCAGCCACTCCTCGGAAGGAAGGTTGGGCAATCTACTTCCGTAGTGATACCACCTTGGAAACCCAAGGAGGGGTCATTATGAGTCAGGACCGACTCGATGGCACATAACAACAACAACAACAAAAATTTGTATTAAGTGTCCAGAATAGGCAAATACACATGTAAAATAAGCCAAGGGCTGTGGGAAGATGGGAAATGGGTAGTTATTGCTAATGGTGTGAGTTTTCTTTATAGGATGATGAAAGTATTCTGGAATTAGATAATGATAACAGAGACTCATCCTATAAATATACTAGAAAATATTGAATTGTACACTTTAAAAGAGTGAATTTTTGAATTTTATCTCAATAATAAAATAAACAAATAAGTAAATTATATGATATAATGTGATGAGTACAGATTTGAAAGTCATTGTGTGTTGATATAAGTCAGCAACTATCAGGGAGTCTCAGTTTCTTTTTCAGTAAAATAGAGGTTTACTTAAATGATCTAGAGGCTCTCTTCCAACTCTATCTTCCAATATATTTGAATCTTTCTGCATGAAAAGCAGTTCATAAAGAACTTGTGGAAAGATCAACTCTAGAGTATAATAAAGCCCTGATACCTTTGGTCTGTCATTTAAGGCAGCTCAATTTGGGGTGCAAACAGTTAACAAGCTTGGCTACTACCCAAAAGGTGGGCAGTTCAAGTCACCTCAGAAGAAAGGTACCTCAGCACTAGGCACCTCAGAAGAAAGGCCTGGTGGTCTACTTCAAAAAAAAGTCAGCCATTGAAAACCATATGGAGTATAGTTCTACTCTGACACACATGAGGTCATCATGAGTTAGAACTGACTCAAGGGCAACTTTTTTTTTTTTTTTTTAAATTTTTGAGTATTGGTCATTTTGATCTATTTCCTTTGAATAACAAGTCTGATTTGGTAGGCTGTTTATGATATTGTCATCTTCCCTGAGGAGTTCTGATTGATTGCAAGCAGAAGAGAAATGCTGACTTTAAAGTAATTTGTAAAACTGTTTATAAGTGAGAGAACAATTTTTACAAGGCTTTAAAGAAGAAATGGAAAGCCTATTGATTTTTATGAGCCAAGTTATGAGCATACATCATAATCATTGTTGGCATAACAATAGAGGATAAAAAAGAGGTATTTTAAAAAATTCAATGAGGATATAGATTTTGTATAAACTTTATAGCAGAGTGGCTAATAGCTTGGGCTCTGTCTGTGTCACCTGGTCTGGGTTGGTATGTTGGCTCTGCAGGTAACCAAGCCTCTCTGTGCTTTTCTCATCAGTCACATACAATAATAGTACCTCCCTCTAAGGCTGTTTTGAGTATTAAATTAAATAATACTTGTACAACACTGACAAAAGTACCTAAATCCTAGCAAGGGCTCAATGAACATGAGCACTATCTTCAACAATGCTTTGTTTGGATTTTACCACCACATCTGAGATTGCTCAACAAATACTTATTTACAGTGTATTGTGCTCTAACCCAATTTTCCCAGTAGTTATGTCCTAGTACACAGGATTTTTCATATTGTAATTAATTTTTTTTTCCTCCTTCAGAGTTAAAGCAACAGATCTTCACTAACAAAATGCTCCTGATTCTACTTGTTCTAGTTCTTTGGACTGAAACATCAGCTGATCAGAGCGCAGGTACTAGTGTTTATTATTATTATTTATGTATATTATCATTTAGGGTAATAAATATTTTTATGCCCCAGCAAACCTTTATTTTAATAAGTAGAGAGAAAGAAAAAAAATTACTGAAACATAAAAGCGGAAAGCATTTAGTAGTTGTTGTGGGTATACGGTATCAAGCAAACTTAATTTTTCAAAGATGACAGAAACCCCTGGGTGAAAGTTGTGAATCATACTTCACCTGCCTAGAGAACCTTTAGTCATTTACTGATTTGCTAAGTCCCAGTGTTCTCCACATCTTCATGAAAAGTCAACCCATTTGCACGTAGGTCAGTTTGTATTGTGACCTTAGTAAATGAAATGAAAAAGGAAAAAAAAGAAACCCCGCAAAGAAAACAAATATTAAGTATTCACGTGTTTAAACTATTGCCTTGCTTTTACAAACGTGAAATAGGAAAGGGATTAATATATTTTATTTTGGCAGGGAGAGAGTATGAAACCTAGGTTTTGCTCCTCTCCTATAATTACTAAAAACATTTCAGACAAGTGTTTCTAATTCTGCACTGTGATAACCTAGGATTTAATGACAAATTTCTGAGTTACTTTAAAGCAAGACATTTATCAGCACATCACCAATTATGGGAGTCTGGGCGAATGACCACAATTGCTAAGGTAGACCCTGTTGGTGCCTCCCATTCCCCAGACCCTTTCTAATGGGCTGACAAACCCATCCCCTAGCTGTTGTGAATATCGCCTGCAACAGCTCATATCTGACTCCCACTACTTAGTGGAGTTTATTGTGTCTGATGGGAGCCACTTTATCCAGAAGGTTATCCCTATAGCCCTCTGACTTCCACCCCCAATTTCTGGGGCTGATCTGTAGCCAATGGCTGACTGATAGGGGCATACAAAACCTGGCCCCCTTGTGAAGTAGGGACAGCTGTGGTATAATTTATGATCCAGAATCCTCTGCAGATCAGGCCAAGGCTAGATGTTCTCAGAGAATACATCTTTCTTTGCTCCTTTCCTACCTTATCTTGCTTCTCCTATATGCCTTCCACCTCAGCCAAACCCATGCACTCAAGTCTCTGCCTCAGGCTTTGCTTCTAGGATCTTCAACCCAAGATAGATTACCCTATATTGTTTCTAAAAGACTACTTTGGGACTTTCTGGGGTGGTCTCATGTTGTCTGTTCTCTAGTACATCAGAGTTTAAGGTTTCAGAACAACAACAAAGTCAGATTGACTGGTGAAACCTCCTAGATTATGGGCCCAGGTTACCCTTCAGGCCGAGAACTGGACTAACTCCTATGGGTTAGTTCTCAGCCAACCAATAGGAAAGCCTACAATCTGAACACCTACCCCAGGGAGATGTACCCCTTAGAACAATCAACTGTGAGAGATTGGAAGGGTAGCATTTGCATAGAGGGAAAAGTAGATGGATAGGAATGGATAAGTAAGAAGGACACAGGGATGGGATAAGCACAAAGAGGTTGGAGGAGAGCTGTTCCTCAGCCCTCAATATCATAAACAGCTTACCAAATCAGATTTATTATAGCAAGGGAAATATATCAAAATGACCAATACTCAAAAATTTTTTTAAAAAGTTGCCCTTGAGTCAGTTCTAACTCATGATGACCCCATGTGTGTCAGAGTAGAACTATACTCCATATGGTTTTCAATGGCTGAGGTTTTTTTTTTAAGTAGATCACCAAGCCTTTCTTCTGAGGTGCCTAGTGCTGAGGTGCCTTTCTTCTGAGGAGAGGTGTTCCATTGCAGGAATTGTAATTGGATGCCATGAAACAAAATGTTTATGAAATGTTGAGTGTAAAATGAATCTGCTTTGTAAATTTGCAACTGAATCACAGTAATTTCTTTCTTTCTACCCCCTCCCCCCATAAAAAGGTCAGATTGTCTGGTATATAGTTGAGAAAGAAAAATCAGCTGGCTAACTTTACTAAAAACTCCTTATTTTTCATTTTAGCAAAACAAGTAGTTTCTTCTCTTTGACCTCTAAAAGACATTTTCCTTGGGATTCTGAATTACTCTGAACAGTAGGACATATTCTCATGTAAGTACCATGGTCTGAAATGTAAAGACTGAACAATAACCTAGTTTTACTTTGTTTTGTTGTTGTTTTGTTTTGATATGGCCAGGTCCTGACTATGCAGATGTCGTGTTTCTGATAGACAGCTCTGATCACCTGGGAACTAAGTCATTCCCCTTTGTAAGAACATTCATTAGCAAAATGATCAATAGTCTTCCCATAGAGACCAACAAATACCGCGTGGCCCTGGCCCAGTACAGTGATGAGCTCCACAATGAATTCCAACTGAGCACCTTCAAATCGAAGAACGCCATGTTGAACCATCTCAAGAAGAACTTCAAGTTCCTTGGTGGATCCCTAAGGATAGGAAATGCTCTCCAGGAAGCTCATAGGACCTATTTCTCTACACCCACAGATGGGAGAGACAAGAAACAGTTTCCTCCCATTTTGGTGGTCCTGGCTTCAGCTGAGTCTGAGGATGATGTGGAAGAGGCTGCTAGGGCCTTGCAGAATGATGGGGTGAGGATCGTGTCTGTGGGGATGCAGAGAGCTTCAGAGGAAACCTTGAAGACCATGGCCACATCTCAGTTTCATTTCTACCTGAGGACAGTTAGAGACCTAGGCATGTTTTCCCAAAACATGACACAAATCATCAAGGATGTAACTCAGTACAGGGAAGCAGCAGTTGATGCTGATATACAAAGTAAGTAAGCCCTGGGTTGAGGTACTTGTTCCCTGTGGGGATCTGCATCTCTACACCCTCATTTCTTTCAACTCCCATCCTGGTTTCCATGATTTGTTGTTCTTATTAGTTGCAATCAAATTGATTCTGACTCATGGTGACACCTTGTATGCAGAGTGGAACTGCTCCATAGGGTTTTCAGGTGCCTAGAACAATGCCTGTGACCTTTGGAAAACAGATTGTTAAACCTGTCTTCTGAGGTACCTCTGGATGGGTTTGAATGACCAACCTTTTGGCTATAGTTGAGAGCATAACTATTCATGCCAGGTGATGGTAGTGGTGGTGGGACTCCAGGGTTTCCATGACTAAAAACTCCAAAAAGCAAACCCATTGCCATTGAGTCAATTTTGACTCAGAGTGATTAGCCATACTGAATTATTGGAAATGCCTACACATCATGCTATTCCTCACCTCTGCCTTGGCTTATGGCATTTTCTGTGACAGAAATATTTTGTGCTTCTTTGCCTTGTTACAGCCTGAACAACTCCTATCATTATTTAAATCTCAATCCTAGAGTCATGTCATCTTGGAAACTTTTCATTTCAGATTTATTTTCAGGAGTCACAAGTCCCTGTGCACAACTGAGACCAGTATCACTTCCCACACTGCATAATTTTCCAGTTCTGTGCTTGTCCTCTCTTATACCACCAATGAACTGGCAGTACCATGAGGGCAGCCTTAGCAACTCATATTTACCTCTGTATTCCTAGTGGCTAGCACAATGCCTGACAATAAGCTGGTGTTCAATTTCTTAATGAGTGAATAAATAAGTCTTACAGATAAAGAAATAAGGCCTTTGTTCTTCTCCTCAGAGTCTTGACACACAGTGTGAGACATACAATAATATTCAATAAATGCCTATCACTTAATATATAATTACACTAAGTGAGAGCAATACCCGATAATGTGACACCCAACAGCACATGTTCATGCTTTTTGTTCAACCAGGCAAAGAAGGGATATCATCAGTTGTAGAGTAATGCAGTGTCTATCTGGGGCTACCCCACATGGCCAGATCTTTCTCAACCAAATATTATTCTTTCAGAGAGATCTTTCCTGACTTCTTCATGTCCCAGGTAAATTAGACCCACTTCACATCCCAGAAAAAGCACTTGATTGAGTCACCTATTTTATTTCCTTTCTAACATTTATTACTGTCTGAAACAATATAATCTGGTTATTTGCCCCCTCCCAGAGAATACAAGGTCTCTGAGGTCAGAGATATTTCTGCTTACTCATCCCTGAATTCCAACAGTTAAGAGAGCAATGGAGGTGAGAGTGGTGGTGTTCAAGGTGGTGTTGGTGTTGAGGATGGTGATGGTGGTGGTGGTAGTGGTGGTGATGACAGAGGTGGTGAAGGTGGTGGTGGTGGGATGTAAAAGGAAAATTGGTGAGAAGCATTCTTCACATAGAGGAAACAGCATAGAAAAAAAAAAATCAACGAAGTCAATATCTTTGTAGACATTGTTAAGAATTTTGATCTTTCGTTCCAATCTACTAGAGGTCAACAATCAATACTAACTACATCTGTCTTGACTACTTATATTTTCAGTAATGCCTTTTGACAATCTGTAAAGTACTTTCCACCTTCTGAGCCAGTGGTTTATATTAATCCTCATACCTTTTATGTCTCCACAGTTCTAATGCCCATGGACTGTCAGAGAGATTCACTTGCTGACCTTGTGTTCTTGATAGATGAGTCGCTTGGCACCACACAAAATTTAAGGTACCTGCAGAGATTCCTGAAGAATATCACCACCTCTGTGGATGTGAGCTATAACTGCATGCGTCTTGGGCTGATGAGTTACAGTGACAGAGCAGAGACTATTTCTTTTCTGAAATCAAGCACAACCCAGTCTCAATTTCAGCAGCAAATCCAGAAGCTTTCTGTCCGGCCTGAGAAATCCAATGCCGGTGCTGCCATTGAGAAGATGAGGAGAGAAGCCTTTTCAGAGTCAAGTGGTAGCAGAAGAGCCCAAGGAGTTCCTCAAGTTGCAGTCCTGGTCACCCACAGACCATCAGATGATGAGGTGCGTGAGGCTGCACTGAAACTTCGACAGGAGGGTGTGACCATGTTTGCCATGAGCATCGAAGGGGCCAACAATACCCAGTTACAAGAAATAGTGTCTTACCCTCCAGAACAGACAATTTCCAAGCTGAATTCCTATGCAGACTTGGAAACATATAGTAAGAAGTTCCTGAAAAAGCTCCAGAATGAAATATGGTCCCACATTTCTATACGGGCTGAACAAGTGGACCTTGATAAAACTGGTATGTTTTTAAAAGTACTTGTCTTATAGAAGTAGTAAGAATGGTTGGGGTGAGATGGGAGTGAAAACTGACTGCAAATGAATAAGGGCAATTTTTGGAGTTATGGAAGTGTTCTAAAACTGGATTTTGGTGATGTCACACAATTGTGTCAATTTACAAAATTCATTGAATGATAAATACACTTACAGAGGATGAATTTTAAAGTATGTAAATTATACCTCAATAAACTATTTTAAAAAGTCATATGTCTTAAGTATAGAATATTTTAATATTGTGCATAAACATAAAGAAGAAAATAAAATTGCCTATAACCTTCTCACATAACATTCTTTACATTTATTTCTTTATATCCCATTGCTTGTCTGACTCTCTCTCTCTACCTGTCTGTCTTGTTTCTTTCTCCACTCAGGCACACACATGCACACATTTTTTTTAAAAAAAATGTCATCACATTGGATATATCACCGCTGTCCAATAGAACTTTCTGTGATAATGGAAATGTTTTGTATCTGTGCTGTTCAGTAACATAGCCACTAACCATATGTAGCCACTGAGTAATTAAATGTGGCTGGTGTGATGTAACTAAGGAAATGAATTTAAAATTTTATTTAATTTTAATTTATTCTAGTTTTAATTTTAATAGCCACATGTGACTAGTGGTTACCATACTAGACAGTGCAGACATATACAATTGGGTAGTTTATATTCATTACAATTACATTTGGCTGTGACTAACAGAAGAAACCAAAATAGAATTATTTTGTCTGTTTCACAAACAATTTCAGAGGTAGTTAAGTGGTACTGGTGTGGTACATCACATTGTCAGTGACTTGTTTCTGTAATTTAATTTTGTTTTTTGCTATTTGTGGCCTTTATTCTCAGGATCACCTCATGGTCCAAGATAACTGCCCCAGCATCATATTCATATCCAACAAGAAAGAAAGATAAAAGAGAAGGGAAAGGGCATGCATATACCTCCTTTCCTTCAAGGATTCTTCCAAGAAGTTACATGTACCATTTCTGCTTACATCCCATTGGCCATTTGGCTACAGGGCTTGACCCAGTTTGCCATAAGCAACCACAAATCCAAAAAATAACCTACTGTATTGGATCAATCCCAAGTCATAGTGACCCTGTAGAACAGAGTAGAACTGTGCCTGTAGAGTTTCCTATGCTGTAATCTTTATGGAAGCAGACTGACACGTCTTTCTCCTGTGGAATGACTGGTGAGTTTGAAACACCGACCTTCAGTTAACAACCAAGTGCTTAATCACTGCACCAAGAGGCCAACAATACCCAGATAAAAGAAATAGAATTTAGTCACATGTCACACCTAGTTGGAAAAATGGGAGCTGGGAAATGAAATGTATTCTTTATTTGATTCAGTTGTGATAGAAGGAGGGAATGGATATTGGGATAACCAGTATATCCACATTACTTGCTTTTCTATCAACCATAGATCATGAACTTTTGTCCATTTCCTTAAATATTTTTCTACAACATTCTTTTGAAGCTGGGTATTATATTGCATTGTATGGATGTACCATAATTCATTTAATATACTCTGAATTGCTAGACATACAGGTTATTTCCAGTGTTTTGCTTTTATAAAAGTCTTGTCAGTTTCATCCTTATATTTACATCTTTATGCACATCCATGATTATTTTCTTGCATCTTGATCTTTTTCATTATTTTCCTTCCATCATTCTTATGATGTATATCCTACTTAAGATGCTTTGTGAATCTGCTATAATTTACCGAGTTCTTTTCAAAACTATATGCCAAGACACTTTGTGACAGAAATCTGATATCTTCACACATTTCCTCTGTATATAAAATGCTTCCAAACAATTGGAAATGGAATTTGGAAGCACTCACAATGAAAAGGATTAGAATCTTACAATTATATTAGAGGCTAATTTTAAACTCAAATAAACCATTTGATGGCAGGCTTGTGAACGCCTCCCAGGGCAGCCCTGGATTTGGTCTGGCAAATGTACATTGGAAAGCAGCAGCAAGAAACAAGTCCCCTGTCACCTCCTGAAAGACTCATAGGAAACTACCTCAGAATGGCAGCCACTTCGGTCTAGTACCAACTGTTCAGGGCATGCATAGGAAAGACATAAATCCTGGTATCTGTCAGGGACTTTGCAATGATGTGACAAAGAACAATATTGTCATTATAGAAATTCTAAATGGGAAAGTATAGGACCAAAACTATGGTAAGGACCATGCAAGAATTGTTATCTTCCAAAACACCTCAATGATTGTCTCCTTATTAATTCAGTAGCTCTCAAATATTGGTATATGTCTTAGTTAGAGTTTTCTAGAGAAAGAGAAACAGTGAATGTATACATAGATAGATAGATAGATGGAGATTTACTTCAAGGGACTGGCTCACACAACTGTGGGAGCAAGTCCAAAACCTGTAAGTCAGGCAGCAGGATGGAGACTTCTGCAGGTTTACATCCATAGGTCAGTAACAGGGGAGTACATACAGAGTTGAGAGAAAAAGAGTGAGTTCTTCCCAAGTACCTCTTTATAGTTTGAAGGAAGACCACATCCTAAGGAATGCCTCTTTCAACTGACTGATGACACTGTGTTACATGATGGAAGGTGATTACATTACATTGCATTAGATTACATTATGGAACAGGAACTAGTCTACTGTTTGGCAAAATCAATGGGAACCATAGCCTAGTCAAGTTGAGACATAACATTCACTGTCACAGTATCTGACTTATGTTGGGTTCTTCTGGAGTTGATGCCAGATAATGATTCATGTGAAATTTATGTTATAGGTAGTACTCCCAGGAAAAAAAACAAACAGTGGTAGAGAAGTGAGGAGATGGGACCAGGAAGACAAAGATGATAAGCAAAGTCTCATGAAAGTAACGTTAGTTCAATTCTACAGAGCCATTCTAGAGATTACACCTCCTTCCTTCTGCTGGGCACCTAATGTTTATTTATTAGTTATGTAGATAAATTAATCTGGTTACTTTTACATTTTGCTGACCTGAGATTAACCCTGTCTTTTTCAGATAACTTTGCTTATTTTTATAAGCAAAATATAATACATATAATGTGTTAATTTCATGGTTTAATCCCCAGAGTCAAATTTATTCCCAGTATTTATGGTTTCTTAAGGAACAATTCCCTTAAGTAGTGTCAAGAGCTATAAATTGCCAAAACATTATCAAGAAAGATAATAATTCTGAAATAACTAAACTATCTTGTAGTTTAAAGATTCATATACTAAATCGGTTAATTGTGTAAAGAAAGTAAACTTTAAAAATATGCTATTCTTCCCACCAAATTTGGATAAATGGTGAGATAGAGTAATAAACAGACTTTTAAGAAAGGTTGTGTATTCTTTTTTTAAAATAGAATCTGCTTGACAAAAAAAAGGAACATCAAGAGTTTATTCCTTTAAAAAAAATTATTGAACTCTTATAATGTGACAGACTGGGTGCTGGGCAGAAACAGAGAATTAGACAAAGTCTCTGGTCTTATGGAGCTGCCATCCTGTAGTAGAGGATGGGCTGTGCTCATGAACAAATGAGTAAGATAATTTCAGAAAGTAATGGATGCCATGAAGAAAATGAACAGGGTAATAGGATAGACAGTGACTGAAGTGTTTCAACTGGAGGGGTAGAGAACGTCTTATGAAGAACTGGCATTTGAGTTGACACACCCGTTATGAGAAGGAATCAGCCATGCACATATCTGGGTATGTAGGAAGGAAAATTCTAGGAAGAGAGGAAGGCAAGTACAAAGGCCCTGAAGCACATTCTGAGAACAGAGAGAAGCCCATTATACTTGGAGCACAGGGTTTGGTGTGAAGAGGTTTGATGTGATAGGGCCAGAGAATAAGCCAATTTGGGATGTTGAAATTCTAAACACAGTGATAAATTATTTAAGGAGAAGAGTAATATGATTTGATTTTGGTTTTAAGTATATCACTCTTTCTTCTCTGGGAAGAAGAGGTGGTTGGGACAATAAGAATAAAAGGTCATCTACCCCATCCCATTTCTCAGGGAAAGATAAAGCATGAACTGTCTAAGAAGGTAGGTTTTAAGAAAAACTATTCAACTTAGAGCTTGGAGAATTGGGGATTTGATCATTACTCTTTAACTTACAGGCTGTGTGACCTTATGCAAACCACTATGCATTACTCTTCTTCAGTGTCCTCATAAGGTTGTTGCAAACAATGGGCATGCATGTGTTCAATGGTCTGTACAGGCTCTATGCTGACATGAAGAGTCCTCAGTCTACAACCTCCACCGCCTCTCATGTTCCTCCACAAACCCTCTTGCTCAGTTCTCCCCAGAGAACAGAGAATGCACTTTCCACTTTCCTCTTTTTTTTCTTTCCAGGCTGTGTGGACACTTATGAGGCTGATTTCTATTTCCTCATTGATGGCTCAGGCAGCATCGAGCTAGAACAGTTTCAGGAAATCAAGACATTTATGTCTGCAGTGACAGAAATGTTTGTCATTGGCCCAGACAAAATCCGAGTTGGAGCTGTGCAGTACTCAGATGGCAGTACAGAGGAATTTGCTATTGGTATCTATTCTAATGATATTGATTTAAAGAAGGCTATTTTTAACATCAAGCAACGAGGAGGTGGAACTTGCACGGGGGAAGCCCTGCAATTTATGCTGCCAATAATAAAGGCGGGAAGGGAGCAGCGGCCATCTGGAGTTCCCTCCTACCTTATCGTGCTGACTGATGGCCAGTCTGCAGACAAAGTCCTGGAACCTGCAGAGAGACTAAGGGCTGAAGGGATCACCATCTATGCAGTTGGCATTGGGCAGGCCGTTAAGACAGAACTGCTAGAAATTGCTGGGAAAGAAGAACGGGTTAGCTATGGGCAGAACTTTGACTCTTTAAAAAGCATAAAAAATGAAGTTGTTCATGGCATCTGCACTGACAAAGGTAAGCAAAACAAAAATGGTTTTATTCTCTGCATTTCATCATTAATTGCTTCAGGCAGACTCACAACCAGGTTGAGACAAGGCACAGATATAGTAAGTGGTCTGGCAAACTTGTTTTTTGTAGATAACTCACTTTATCACTGTGAAGAGATTAAGCCCCACACTTTAAGATCAATTCTCAACATTGGAGAATCTCTTTAAGACAGTAAGAAAATGGCTAAAAATGTAGGACCTTAGCAAAGCCCACTGCTGTGGAGTGTAAGAGATTCTATTCCGTGTGTGTGCACACACCTGCATGCAAGGAAGGCAGATGAGTAGTTTGGAAAGAAAATGGGCTCTGGATTTAGATATTTAAGGGTTTAACTCACTTTCATGCTTGACTCTCAAACTTCCTCATCTATAAAATGAGAATCCACCAAACTTTCAGTTAATAGTTGAGAGCTTAACTCTACGCACCATCCAGGGATTCCTAGTCACCCATGAAGTCAAGGTAGAATGTGTTGATTGCCCATATTAGCACATAAAAATGCTGTCTTCTGAGAGATATGTTAGCTTACTGGTTAGAATAAAGATGTAGGAGTCAAAGGCTTAAGGTTCAAACCCGCTTTACCAGCTGTGAACCTTGACTAACTTATTTACTATCTACCTGGCTTGGTTTCCTTGTTTGTAAGCTTATGGTGAAGTTAGCAGTTCTGATGCATGTGGAGCTCTTAGAGAAGTACCTGACACAGAAGTTGGTTCATGTGTTCATTGATGAGGAAAGGAAGAGACTCAAACTTATTTTGAACTAACTAAAGTGAAATGTAGGAGCTCTGGTAGCATAGTGCCTAAGGCATTGGACTGCTAACCAGAAGGCTGGTAGTTCAAACCCACCAGCCACTCCTTGGAAGGAAGGTTGGGCAATCTACTTCTGTAGTGATACTGCCTCGGAAACCCAAGGAGGGGTTACTATGAGTCGGGTTCGACTGGATGGCAGTGAGTTTGGTTTTGTTTTGGAAAGTGAAATGGGTTTGAATTTTCTCTGAGCCTCTTAAAAATAGAAATAAATTATTAATAAACAAGTAACTAGCATTCGTAAGAAAATCCTAAATCATAATTTTGCTGATTTTTCTTCCTGTTCAGGGGAGTTTTCAGGATGTTTTAGAAAGAAGAGATTTAAAGGTCCCCAATGGCAGTGTAGTGCCTAAGGCATTTGACTGCTAACCAGAAGGCTGGTGATTCAAACCCATCAGCCACTCCCAGGAAGGAAGGTTGGGCAATCTATTTCCATAGTGATACCACCTTGGAAACCCAAGGAGGGGTCGCTATGAGTTGGATCTGACTCAGCAGCAGTGAGAGAGAATGTTTCCTGGAGTTGACATCAGGAAAAGTAAAATAATTTCAGGAAGCATAAAGTTGCTTGTATCTCAAGTCCATTCTGAGATGAAAGCCCAGGACCAATGTGAGGAGTTGCAGCACCTCTCTTGTGGTTCAGTTATCAGTGTGAAAATTGTCACAAGTTGTCATCAAGGAAATGAGCCAAAAGGTGGTGAATAGAGAGGCAGATAAACAAGGAGCTGAGGCTTGGGAGGGAGAAAAACCACTGGTCTCAGAGTCGAATCAGATGGAGTGAAAACCAGAGGACTGGTCAGTAGGAAGGTTAAGCTACTACAACAAAAAAACCCAATCTACAATGGTTTCAACAATGCAGAATATTATTTCTCTCTTACATAATAGTCCAGGTCTAGTAGAAAGGCTGTTTCATTCTCAGCAGATAGCATACATCTTTAGGTCAAAGTGTGGAAACTGCAGTTCTCATCTCCCTTTCCACTGTGGACATTGTGTTTCTTCTTTAAAGCTCCTCAGATAAACTCCAACAATCTTCTGTAGACTTCTACTAAAGAAGCAAATAAAATGTTCAAAAGCTTGAGATAATTTTTAACTCATCTCCTTCTCCACTGGAAAGGGAGAAAGAACCATCACACTCAATTGTTTTAATGGTAAGACCCAGAGTATCCAAATTACCCCTGGTCATATCTATCTTAGTCACATGGCCACATCTAGCCTCAAGAGAGGCTGGAAAATGTAGTCTTTAACTGGGCAACCATCTGCCTTCCTGGAACTTTATTACCATAGAAGAATGGAAGAACAGATACTAGGGAACAAGAAGCAACCTGTGTAAATAGATACAAGGAGATGGATGGACCCTGTGACCACTAAACCATTAAACATGTTAAATTCTATTACTTTTACATGTGTTACATGAAAGAGAGTCTTCCACACTTCACAGCAGTGGTACTGTGCCAAGACCACAGACATGCTCTGTGGCCTCCCTAGTCATGATTTTCAAGATGGCTTCTGGGGAGTTAGGGTCTTAAAGTGGTGGTTTTAGTGCCTCCTGGTGGGTAAGAGGTATGACCTTACACAAAACAAAAGCCAAAAACCAAAGTCACTGCCGTGGAGTAGATTGCAACTCATAACCACCCCTCCTTGGGTTTCTGAGGCAGTATCTCTAAGGAAGTAGATTGCCCAGTCTTCCTTCCAAGGAGTGGCTGGTGGTTCAAACCCACCAGTCTTCTGGTTAGCAGTCAAACGCCTTAGGCACTATGCAGTTATTAAAAAAAATAATTAATGTCTTTTTATTCTTCTACCAACCACTCCTCAGAAGGAAGCTTGGGCGATCTACGTCCATGGTGATATTGCTTCAGAAACTCAAGGAGAGATCGCTATGAGTCAGATCTGACTTGAGGCCAGTGTGTTTGTTTTGTTTATGTCCAATACTACTTGTTTATTTTTAAATAATATGGGATAGACTATGTGGATGTTGAGGGAGGGCTTGGTAAGAGGGTTTTCAGAGATAATAGACAGAAGGACAAAGGGCTAAGACAAAAGAGATACATGACAAAGAGACAACATATTTGCTATATATCTCCTGTGGATGCAGAGAATTGAATACTAGTGGTCTGATTCTTTACTGGGTCACCACTGCATCTAACACAAGAACTGATGCTTGGCATTTCGTATACCCTCAAGAATTATGAATGACTGAATTATGAATAAATGATAAATGAATGAATGAATACACACTGTGGACATTGCATTTCTTCTTTAAAGCTCCTCAGATTAACTTCAACGATCTTCTGTAGACTTCTACTAAAGAAGCAAATAAAATGTTCAAAGGCTTGAGATAATTTTTGTTTTCTGATTCATACATTTATGTTTGCTTAATGTTTCTACATATTGTAATAGTCATGCCAAAGTCATTCATTTCTGTTTTTTTTTAATAACATGCAGGATGTGAAGACATGAAGGCTGACATCATGTTTCTGGTGGACAGTTCTTCAAGTATCGGAGTTGACAATTACAAGATCATGAAAGATTTCATGAAAAATCTGCTAGCTAAGATCCAAATTGGTCCAAACAAAGCCCAAATTGGTGTTGTTCAGTTCAGTACTGATAGCAAGGAAGAGTTCCCACTTAACAAATACTTCACGCACAAAGAAATTTCTGATGCAATAGACATGATGTCTCTTATCAATCAAAACACTCTGACAGGAAAGGCACTGACTTTTGTAGCTGAATACCTCACCCCCACCAAGGGAGCTCGTCCTAATGTAAAAAAATTTCTCATCCTCATCACGGATGGAGAATCACCGTATAGTGTGAGAGAACCTGCTATAGCACTTCGGAACGAAGGTGTGATCATCCTCTCTGTGGGGGTGTTTGGTGCCAATAGAACTCAGCTAGAGGAGATCAGTGGAGATGGCAGTCTGGTTTTCCAGGTTGAGAAATTTGTTGATCTAAAGGCAATAGAAAGTAAATTCCTCTTTCGTGTATGCACCCTCCATGGTAAGTGACCCTGTTACCCTTCAAGACTCCAGGGTATGAGTTATTGATGTCATAGTGGGGTGAGTGGTATGTATTTCACTCTGGACTTGGCCTTTACCTAGACTTAATTGTTAAGTTTTGGTCTTATGTATGTTATATGAAAACACTTATGACCTCCAAAATATTTCAGAATAATAATTTTGGCAACAACTCATAGGAAACAAAATAGGCTGAATTGGATGACTTCAGATATATTCCAAGAAAGTCTTCAAATTTTACATTAAACTTCCAACTCTCCAATATCTGTATACCTGGATATTCAGGTGCTAACTTTTAATCCCAAATGATCTGCCAGCATTATTTATTTATTTGGCAAGCTATAACCATTGTTAAACCATAAATAATCAGAAATACAAATTCATCTTCCTCTTAGTTAAATTAAATCCAGTACAATAACCCTTCTGTCCCCCTCCAAAAAACATCTAACCATGGCTTAAAGATGTTGTCTTATCAGTTGCCATCAAGTCTGCTCTGACTCATGGCAACCTTATGTGTAAAAGAATAAAATGTTGCCCAGTATCTTTTAAACAGAGGGTATATTTCCATTACTTCATATGATTTTTCTTAACCTTTATCAACCAGGTATTTATAAAGAGGGATCACTATGAGTCAGGTCCAACTTGACGGCACAGCACAACAATATACATATATAAGGAGCTCTAGTGGTGCAGTGCTTAAGGCATTTGAGCTAACCAGAAAGTTTGTGGTTCAAATCCACTAGCCGCTCTGTGGAAGGAAGATGGGGCAATCTACTTCCATAAAGATTTACCACTTCAGAAACCCAATGGGGGTTGCTATGAATCAGAATTGATTCAATGGCAGTGAGTTTGGTTTTTGGTTTTATACGTGTATTTATCCCTTTGGAAATTTTTAATTTGTTGCTTTTTTTTTTTTTCCCCTGATTGTTTGGGGGTCATCTTTATCTCACAAATTCTATTGCTTTTCAATCATATTGAGCAACCTTCAGTTTGAACACATCAATTGTTAATGGCTCTTAAATGAGAACTTGCTGTAAATCCATACATTGTCAAAAACAACTGTGCTTTTGATCAGAGTTCCAGTAAGATGGCAGAATAGGCAGAGAAACACACAGACCCTCTTCAACAAAGAAAAGGGGAACTAATAACAGATACAGAAGATAATCCTGGAGCCCTGAGCTTTGAAGGGAAGCATATAGAAGTGGACTAAACTCCAACTAGTAGAAGAACCTGCATGAAACAACATAAAATGAGACATACAGAGCTGCAGTCTGTTAGTGATCCTGATGGCATGGACAGCTTGGATATTGCCAAGTGGTGTTAAGACCTAAGAATTAACCTAAGAATTGGCCCTGCTAGCCAGGGGCTGCATGAAGGACTACACTGGTGGCTGATGAATAAAAGGGGAAGCAGTGAAGAGGGAGAAGGGCTGAGCTGTGGACTTTTGGCTGTCCAGAGGGTGCAGCCATTTTGAATGTTTACAAGTGTTTCACCCATTTTGCTATTTAAAGTGACATCATTCTCCCACATTGCTGAGACTTAAGAATAGGCTCCACCTGCTGGGAACCACAAGGATATTCCGGACACGAACAACTGGAAAGGTGCAATATTCCTCTTGTTATTCTTAGACCACACACTCTCTTGTTGAATGGAGGTGCTGCTATCCCTCACTCCCATCCACTTTCTGGGCTGGCAGAAATCCCATCCTAGTCTGTGTGCTCAGACAAAGCCTAGGTGCCCTGCCCCACCCTGCCAAGATTTTTTTTCCTGTTTGATTATTTTTGTCTGTTTTAAAATTATTATTATTATCGTCCCTTTTCTTTTTTTTTTTTTTTATTCTTCCCTATCCAGGTTCTAGTTTTCAGCTTTTTCTCTCTTCCCTCTTCCTGGTTCCCATTTTTTTTTTTTTTTTTCATTCTCATGGTTAACCACATTCCTTGTTTTTCTTTTTACATTTTTCCCATTTTTTTCTTCATCACTCTCCTACTCTACCTTTTCTCTCTTGTTGCCCTCTCCTCAGATATTGCAAGTTTTTTTCTTTTCTTTTTTCTTTTATTGGTGATTATTTCTGTGTGTTTATACAGTGTGTTTTTGGCCACTTGCTTTTACTTTTTTGATGGTTTTTCAATTGTTGTTTTCATCTAACACAGTGAGTAATAGCAACAGTGCCCATACAATGCAACTATACCTACACCTTCTGCAGTTCCACTTACTGAATGGGAGCCAGCACTGCCTTTTCCACCACTGGCCAATGACAAATGACCACCAAAAAAAAGCCTGACTCACCCTTAGCTGCTCTTCACAAACAGTTAACAGAGATCTAAATATAGCAAAATGTGTCGGAGACAACAGACCATTACAGTCCACACAGAAGCAAGATAAAGCAGGAGAAACAAGGGAGCAGAATACAGACTCAGAACACATCCCTGAGGAAGAACCAGCATTAGAACTCCCTGATAAGGAATTCAAAAGAATTATACTTAGGTATCTTCAAAGGACTGAGGGACAGATCAAGGAAAACACAGGCAAAATTAAGGAAAACACAGACAAAACTCTAGAACAATCTTGGAAGACAATACAAGAACAAAATGACAAAATAAATGAAAAATTAGATATGATACAAAATCTACAGATAGAAATCCAGAAGATTAATACTAAATTTTCAGAACTAGATAACACATTGAAAGGACAAAGGAGTAGAATAGAATCAATGGAAGACAGAATTAATGGGATTGAAGACAAATACCTAAATACTTCTTTGGAAAGGGTCACTCAGAAAAAAGATCAAAACAAAATGAAGAAAGCCTAAGGTTAGTTAATGTGGGTTACCATCAAAAGAAATAACCTACATGTAATTCGAATTCCGTAGCAGGAAGAGAAAAAGAAAACCACTGAGAAAACTGTCCAAGATTTGTTGGAAAAGAACTTCCCTGATATGATGAAAGATGAGAATATATCCATTCAGGAAGTCCAACAAACCCCAAACAGGATAGACACCAAAAGAAAATCACCAAGATATATCATCATCAAACTCATCAAAACCAAAGACAAAGAAAGAATCCTGAAAGCAGCACAGGAAAAACAAAAAGTTACTTACAAAGGACAGCCAGTAAGAATACGCTCTGATTTCTCA